AGCTGCCTCCCCCCATCGTTTATTTATAACCTGCCCAGCTCTCCCAGGACGTGCCCAGTGCCTACTCCCAGCCCCTCAGGGCAAACATCCCAGTGAAAAAGCCCACATCAAGCTGGATATGGAGCAGCTGTGGCTCCTGACCCCCTTGCCAGACCCAAAAAGCCCTCACATCCGTAGCTTCACCTGGAGAAACCATCTGACTCCAGCTCCTGGGTATCTCCCTGTCCCACTACTACACACCCCGGTGCAGGGAAGGAGGCCAGAGCTTGCCAGAAAGCGGCAGCATTTCTGAGCAGAGCTCTTGCAAAATCCCCATCCTTTCCCGCACGATGCGCAGCAGAAGCAGCCGCAGCGTTCCCACCTCGGAGGAACGGAGCCGTGAGGCAGACGGATTCTCTCGGCAAGGAAGCACTGTGGCAAAGGCTGCCAGGAGCTGGCCAGGATGCTCCTAAAGAGCATCCGGCAAGCCTCAATAACGTGAATCTGCTGCCAAAGCTCCGTGCGGCGGTAAAGCCCTTGGCTGCGGTTCCTATCGGGGAGGCTGATGGACAGGAGAACCACTGTGGGGTGTCCCAGGGCTGGACCAGTCCCACTGATGGCTGCTGTGGGGTGACTCTTGATGTCTGAGGAGGCCCCCCCCAAAAAGTGTGGGGTGGTCCCTGAAGACAATGAGGATGGTGGGGGCCCTGGGGAGCTTGGCATTGGGGAAATCCGGCTTCACCGAGTCCAAGGGGTATGCATGGGACTCCAGCTCACTGTCTGCAGGGCCTGAGCCTTCAGAGATGCATGCGTAGGGGTTAAAACCCGCTGCTCAGTTTGCACTCGCTGTAGGAGGCGGTGGGGTCCCCTGGGCTCCTGCGTCCTCCCTGCTGGAGTTGCACACTGTGCCGGGAGGGGACCTCAGCATCTCTCCCTGGGGATACCCCCGCGCTGTCCCTCATCACAGCCTGTATCGCCCAGAGGCTGGCATCTTCCGGGCACCGTGCCCAAAATCCATCCCAGATGCGGAAAATTAACCAGCTAAAACAGCACGTTTCAGCCCCTTAGGGATTTTGTTGCTACAGCTGCTGGGCTGCAGCAGGGCCTCTGCGCTGGCCCTGTCCACCACTTGTGTCTCAGCTGGGCTGAGCCTCCATTCAAGCACGTGTGCCTCTCACAGGTATTTAAAAATAGAAATAATAACAACCTCTCCTCTCTTTCCTGCCTGGTTGGAGAAATAGCTTAATTAGTTAATAAAGGGTTTGATTTGTTGTGTAGCTGTGTGAAGAACTTGCAGAGGGCAAGCTAAGTAAATAAGTCAAAGCAATGAGCCTTAGAGGTAGGCTGGGGAGGGAGGGTGTCCCCACCATGACTGGCCATGTCCCACACGGGGGGACCCAGCTCTGCCTCCAGCCTCAGCAAGGATTTCCAGGCCAGGCCTGAGAAGCTTCTCTTGGCGGTGAAGTGATTGTGTCCCAGCGGAAAATGTGGGGCCAACCAACGTTTTCTGTTTTGCCGAACAATTTTGGCAAATTATTTAGCAAGGCAGCTGGATCTCAAGCAAGATGCTGCTGGCCCCAGACACAGGGGTCTTCCTTTCTCTGTACTGAGGTGTGGGGCTCCCAGTATCCCCCCAGCACTTGGGAAAGGCAGGGAGGTGACCAGGGGACAGCTCTTTATTCCCATACACTCAAACCCAGTGGCAATGAAGATGTTGACTCCTGGATATGGATTTCAAAGTCTTTATCTCCAAGTGCACTGGGCTTGTACATCTGGGGAAACTGCCCATACCTCCCACTGTCCATATCTCCTGCACCCCTGTCCCTGCTGTAGCAGCAGGACCTGGTCCCTCAACACCCTTTGGACAGCCTGGCCAGTGAGCAATGGGCCAGGGCATGCACTGTCTCAGCAAGCTCCTGCCTGATCCAAAACAACCTGGCAATTCGTGTTGATCCATAGCAACATTTAAAATGGCATAGATGGCTCTTTACGAGGGGTCACTGCCACGCTGCAGAAGAGGCTTCAGCACTCCTCATCCCCAAGACCAGGGCAGGGGATGAGGACCCTGTGATGGCAGCCAAGATGCTCAGCGGCAGTCATAGCTCTCAGAAATGTCCTTACAACCCTGGTTTCTGCAGGACCTTGTTGAGTTCTTAGGAGGAGATGAGCAAGGCAGAGGAGAAAGACAGAGACCTGATCTAGCCTTTGGCACAGGCTGTTTCAGCCTGTTAAAGTGCAAAGGGCTGATGGAAGAAGCTGCACACACACATACAGGCACACAGACTGCCCCAGCAGTTCATCACCCCTTTCTCCACTCCTCTTCCCCATCAGGTACCGTCATGCAGCCCTGTTGATGGCTCTGGACCATATCGTACAGCACCACTCAATTTAACGCATGGATCCATCAAGCCCACAGTGTCCAGGCTGGGCTTCCCCGATATGCCTCCTGGACCCCACTGAGCACCAGCTGATTTCCCAGCAAGGGGAAGGGTCAGTGCTGGGCTGCTGATGGAGCCGGAGCCAGGGAAGGCTGCTGGGGTCCACCAAGAGCCACACCAGGAGATGCCAGAGGAGCCAAAGACTTCTCCACAACAAGCCAAGGCAAAGCCACAGCAAACTTGTCTTTCTTCCCACATGGCAGCTCTCCGCATCCCGTTTGGGTGTCATTATAGGTAATTCCCTGCTTGACATCTCATCAGAGATGGGGGAGGGAGGCGCCATTTCAGGAAAAGACAAAAGGGCTCTTTCTTCATCAGCGTTAACCTCAGGCAGCTCTCAAGAAAAATTCTGGGCAATTAGTGGAGCATAAGAAGATTTATAATTGAAATCTAGTTTGTAGCACTACAGGCGGCTCCCTCGAAGGACATTTCTCAGAGACAAAAAATAAGGGGGGGGAAGAAAAGAATAGAGACAGAGGGGGAGAGCTAACTAGTTAAAGAGTTTTAAAATCTCACCGAAAACTCCATTTAGTTTAACATTGCATGATAGCTTTCATAATTCAGAACAAAGTGCAAAGCTCTTTAATGAGGCCATTAATGACCCTTTAATTTACTCCACCAGGGCTGAATTCATAAAACATTTATGTTCCATTTACACAGGATTTTCCTGAGACTCTTCGGGGCAAGTCACCATCACAAAGCAGGTGGGTTGAAACAGAGGGCTCTTCTCTTCTGTTCCCTCTCTTCTTCACCCTGGTGCTGAAGCTCTGCATGTGTCCTTTCATTCTGCTAGAGAAGCTGCAAGGACCCAGGAGGAAGAAGAGCCATTTTTGACCCTTCTGCATTGTAAATAGATGCAGAGTGCTCTCTTGTATTTCTGCTCTAAGAACAATGAAACCCTTTTTTAAGATCTAGCTGGGGCATTGACAGCCAGCCTTAAAAAACTTTTTTTTTTTTTAAATCATTACAGCCCAGCTCCAGTTCATTACTCGCTTGCCTGCTGGGAGAGGTCTCGCTTGCAATATCAGATTTGCTCTTGGGCTAGCACTGTTGAACTTGGAGCATCTGGGGGAGATATGTCCCACCAGCTTTCCAGGCTGCTTCCACCACTTTGGGTGGTGATGGAGGGAGGGGGGGGAGGCTGGAAGGATGCAGGTACGTAGGTGGGTGCTGAGGCTGTCGATGCTGACTGCTCCACTTGACCACGAGGGAGCTGCTGCCAGGCTGAGCAGAGGTGCACACCAGGCTGCTGGCAGAGGTGGCAGCTGAGATTGTCTATTGGCATCTCAATGTCTCCTGTCCCTGCAGAGGTGAGAGGCTCAGAGAGCTGTCAAGGTACACATGGGGCAGCACCCTGCGGTGGGAACAGGGCTGGTTCATCACCCCCATTCAGCACTCCATGAAGGCTACACCTGAGCTGCAGGTGATGGTCCAGCCTGGTTGTCCCTTGACCCAAATTAAGCTACTTGTCTCTCAGGGGTTTTTCTTCTGTTACAGATGGCAAGCAGGCTAGGAATGTGTAATTGCTTGTATTGGCTGAAACATCTTTTTTAAAAAAAAAAACCAAAACCTCTTCCTAGTTTATTACAAAGACCTCATTCTCATTTCTTCAGAAAATGTCAGTTTCTAAGCATCTTCAGATAAAAAGAGCCATTAATTATCACAACTGGGTTCACAGCATCTTAAGTTTGCTTTTACCAGCTTCTCACCTGCTTTCTTGGCTTCAGGACTGTTAAGCACTTCTGGCCTGCTTGTAGCTTTGACCTAAGGAGGGTTTCTTGCACCAGCAGACACAATATTCATAGCAAACTCAGGAGGGCAGAGGTGCCTGCTCACAAGAATCAGTCCTCCAAAAGCCTCTGCAGAGGGAGGCAGAGAAGAAGCTCTCAGGCTATCAGCAGACGAAAAAGTTAGAGTCCGTCAGAAAGCATGTCAAAAGTCCATGTTTCTACTATCTATAAATGACAGGAAACAGTCCATGCCTGAAGGTCAGCAGAGCTGGGTCTCCCTGCAGCATGTGTCTGGTAAGGAGCAGGGGGACAGTCTCAGAGGGAGTTTTATTTTTTATATCACTTACCCTCTCCCCCTAAAATCCAGGTTGGGTTGTCATTCTCGTTTCCTTCTTCACCCCTGATTTTGCTGACGCAGGTTAGAAACCTGATGGACCATCAAGGTACTGACACTGCTTGCGTCTGTATGGTTCATGAGTCATCCTCCTCGTTTCACAGCTAAAAGGACTGCTGATGCTGATGCCCTCAGAAAGGACACATCAGCAGGAGCATCAATACATTTGAAACCATGTCAGCACTCATCAGTAGCGGGCTGTGCACACACTGGTTTGCTTTTGTAGGGTCTCTTGAGTGCACTGGGTTCTACGCACTAGGTTTGTGGTGGCAGGGTCATTTTTAACTTCAGGGGAAGGAACCAGAGAGGAAGATTGCTTGACCTACCTGGTTCATCCATGCAGAACTGCTTTGCAGCATAGGGTCAAGTTTGTCAGAACACTTAGATCACACACAAAGAAATTATGGCCAAAAGAAATTTTAAACATGCACCAGAAAAAAAATAAAAACCCCACAGATACACACTCCAATGGAGAGAAAAAAATAGACACCATTTTTCAAATATGCCAAGCGATTTTGGAATCTCACACTCAAAAGTGATCTAAGCACTAAAAGCACCAGGACCTTGACAGGATAAATAGGGAAATGGTCCCAGTCTAATTCCAAAGTGCCCAGTGTCAGCAATGCAAGTGGTGTTGCAGGAGATCAGTGAATAGGAGGGGAGGGAACCTGCAGCAAGAAGAGGCAAAATGGAAGTGGCTGCCCAAGGGACCAGTACACCTGGCAGCAGCATGTTGCCCACTCTGCCTGCCATAGAGGGATGCTTTCCATCCCAACGTGGAGGTGGGATGTGCCTAGGTGGATGCATCTAGACTTTGTGGACTACAGAGGCAGGAAAAGCCAAATTTCCTTGCTGAAATTACCCCCAGAGGAAAATGGAGAGGCAGGAGGTGTGAGAACAACAGTGCTAAGGGGAGCCCATAGATGGAGCTGGCTGCCCCCAGGGCTCGGATCATTCCTGGGACACTGTCCTGTACAGTGATGGTTGACTGACAGAGAGCAAGGAAATGAAGCAGGTCTGAGCAGCACAGGGATCTCCTGGTGTCATGCAGAGCTACCTGCAGACCTGGATGCTCCAGGGGCTCTCAATCCCTTTGGCTCTGGCAGCAAACAGCTCTGAGCAGCTCCAGGAACAAGTTGCCTTAGCTTGATTGTTATTTGATTTACAGAAACATCAACACAGGGATTCCATCCAAACTTGACCCTTGATTTTTACTAAGCACAGGCTGCCATTTAGTTAGAAACACATGGGCTCTTTTTATTACAATTCCCTGGAAAAAAAACAGTGGTTTAAATTAAAGGGGAAAATATTTAGTGAAAAATCAAAATTTGCAGTCACACACATAGAGGCTCTAACGTTTCATAACCACTCAATTCCCTGCTTCTCCATCCCAGTTTCCTGCTCAGCACATCTCTACTTAAAAAGACCATCTCTAGTGAAGCCTACAGCCAAGGGCTTTGATTTGCTTAGGTTACCCATGTTGGCCATGTGGCCAGCCACATGGGGTCAAGACTTGCAGACTATGAAACACAGGCAGGCTCTTGAAGCCGCCTATGTTTGCACGGATTTCTTAACACATCCAGGTAGCTCGCACACCTCCAGGGCTCCAAGAGCTGAGACCTCACAGCTACTGCCCTTGAGGGCATGCAGTACTTGAAGCCAACAGACATACCACCTTTATGAGAATCTTGTTGTACTTTAGCTAAGACCAGAAATGCAGAGTTTCAGCCACACTGAAAGACCCCTGCACATACATCCACAAGTGACCTGAGCTCTTCTGAGCAATCCAAGATCTCTCTGCACCACTAAAACTGAGTGCACAGACACCTGAGGATCCTCATGCATCCTTCTCCTTCTGCTTTAAAACCCCCAGGAGAGGGCAGCTGAAACATTTAAAGCCTCAATTTGGTCACTTCAACAGGTGATCACAATCCTCCAGGAAGTGGGCCAATGCTCACAGGTTGTCTGTCCTACTGGTGATGTTGATGCTGCCTGAAAATCAAAGTGGTTTCACAGCCAAACCACAAGCTACAAACAGGAGAGGATCAGCAGGCCAGCGGGAAAGCACTGTTTTTCTTAGAACAGCTGCTGGATCTTACAATCAAGACTATCTGATAACACTGATGTCATGCTAGTAATGGTATAACTCTGTATCAGCCTAATGGCACAATGGGTTTATAAAAGGAGCAGTATATGCAGAAATACGCATTCATGCTTGCTAATCCCTCATAAGCCTGTAATCCTGATTCTTTCTTTTCCAAATAATAAGTGCAGGTCTATTAAGACCCTATCACTAGCTGCATACTAAATTCCCCTCTTCCTGCCTTGAATCTGCTGTGTACCCTACACATTGTGGGGCAGGGGGGAGACAGGCCATCCCTGCCAGCCCTCAGCCCCCTGTAATGATGACTGTGATGGTGCATGCTTGAAAACCCCACCCTGGGGTTTCTCCCTCACCTGTACCAGGGGGAGCACATGGAAGCAGGCACAGCTTCACTACAGCTTCCTTTCTGGAGGACCTGAGGATGCCTTCCAGAGGGCATTTCTGCATCAAAATGAAACTCATTTACTCACAGGCATGCAAGAAACACCCGCCAGTGTTTCACAGCCTCCTCCAGCCAGCCCTGGCAGAGTTTTTCACCCCCTTCTTGCCGGCTGTGTCCCAGTGCTGCCAAATCCCCACCTCCACCAGCATCCCCAGCCACAGATAGCTGCTTCCAGGGAGTCTTGGTATCAGACAGCATTTCATAACCATTCCCCAGCCACTGCATACATACAACCTGGAAATAACCCTTCCAGGAGTGACAAAGTAACAGTCACTAATTATACAATTAATTTATTCTTTGGCACTAATAAAAAAAATGAATTTGTGTTACAAAGGAGGAGAAAAAAATCCAAGGATTTGTTTAATTAAAACTATAATGTACTGAAAACCCAAGTAATTTTAATGATACAGACAATGCTGCGACTGTATAATTAGTAATTAATTACCTACAGAAATGACACTTTCTTTTCTTTAAAGCTATTCATTTTTCCTGTTTGTTTTTCTTTTTTTTCTTGCATGCGACTGTCTTCAGGGCACACAAATCATGGCAGCGAATTGCTGTGTGGCGCATCAGCTACCAACCTGGCTCTGTGTGCGATTCCTTACCTGCAGGCAGAGGTGCTGCATCCTCACCTCTCACATCCCGATCCCCACCGAGGAGCAATCGCAGGCCTCCCTCCCCAGCCTCCCTCTGCCTGTAACAGTCGCTCTCCATACCGAGAGTCCAGCAAAAGTGGGCAGCAGTGCAAATTGTGACTCCAGCCACAAAAAGCCGCTGGGACGGAGCTGACAGGCAGAACAGCTACAGCCTTCTGTAGAGGGAGTCAAGGAGCAGACTGTTAGCCCAGTGCTATATATATATTATGCTCATAAGTCCTGATGTTAACCAATGTTATATATATATTTTAAGTATTCATGTATTCATAGCTATAAAGGCCTTTTCTCTACTTGAGCTAAATTGTATAAGCGTGACCTACTGTCCCAGAAGGCTTTTTATTCATGTTAAATGGGTACTGAGATTACAGCGCTCCTTGGTAGTAGGTGCAGAAGCATTCCGGAGGAGACAGGAGAAGATGGATGGTCCTATTGAGGCTGAGCAAAGAAACCAAAAACATGAGACCCAAGCAGCTCTGCAGCACAGCTGGCTTTGCATCTGAAAAATCAGCTGGGAGGTTGGCTTACACTTGGGAGAAGGATGGAATATCCCTCAACCTTGTCCCTTCCCCAGGGAGGTGCTAACTGCACCCATGGACTGGGGACAACAGTACCCAGCACGCACCCCTTGCACACTCATGTCCCCAGTTCTGGTGGCTCCACCTTCCCATGGTGGTCCCTGACTGCTCATCGGTCCCATCTGTTCCCTGACCTGTAAGCCAGGGAGAGCGAGCCAGGCTGGCCTCTGTGGTGCTGCTGACAGCGATGCTTCACAAGTGCTCCATGCTGCATCTCCGACGTGCTCTTCCACCCTGCCCTGCTCCTTGGAGACAGTGTGCCTGCTCGCGTTGCCCCCCGCAAACAGTGCAATTTGTCACTGGCTCCCTGGTACCTACAGGAACCTCCAGCCCCATCATAGAGCCCAGATGCACCCTGGCAGCTCCCAGTTAATATTCAAGGGGAAACACAACCTCCTTGGAAAAAGCTCTGCATCAGCATCCTGCAAGGAGCTCCTGCGCCCTCCCTGCCCAGCCAGGAGATCACTGCAAATCACATCAGTGAGATTAGCAGGTCCCCTGCTCAGATCTTAACCTTTATCTGAGGCCTGGGGACCTCTCTGGCTGCTGGGTTTGAGTCTCATGGTCACACAGGCACAAATACTGAGATGTTCCCAGCCCGTCTGTTCATTCCCAGTGCACACCAAGGACAGCACCCAATTCATCAGAGATGCGTTACCTTCACACTGTCTTGGGAAGAAATCAGGACAAGACTGGCCTGGGTGGTGGTGCCAGGATGCACAGTGGTGGCCAGGGATGCTGGTGTCCCCTCGTCGGCTTTGATACTCCAGTCACTCCGACGCAGTCAGGGTGGAAGCGGCAGCGAGCTGGCTGCTGGCTGTTACGCTGGTGCCAGATGGTGGATGAGATTAAAAGAATTTGATTTTCAAATAATCCATAAACCTGGCTGAGCTAATGTCGTTTCATATGCATTATCTTGTAATCCCAGGGAAGAGAACATTTCAGAGCAAAGAGCCTTATTCTCCCTCCCTGCAAGGACTCTAACAAGCTATAGATAATCCCCTTTTTGTTGGAAGGTGCTTACAGGGGACCTACAACACCCAGAGCATAGCACAGGGGCTGCAGCTCTGCACTAGTGCCTGGGAAGAGGACAACCAGGCACCCAGCGCCACAGGGGCTGTCTTGCCCTGAGCTTCATAGGGGTGGCAGCAGCACATAGCAGGGCCTAGGGATACCTCGAACTCAGAACCCTGGCCGATAAGGGAAGATAAAGGAGGGATTTTGCCACTCCTGCCCCCTAACAGTGCATGGGAGCCCATGCTGCATCACTGGTGTGGCGGAAGGAGATACATCCCCTCTTCTAGGTAAACCCACTTTTATGCCCACTTTTGAGGATAAACCCCCAAAGCCCAATCCAAGTAAATCAAAGGTATGCCAAGCCACCCTGGGGAGAGGATCAGGTCCTCCCTGGTCACTGAGCCCCACAGCCAGCGTCTGGCGACCACACTCCATCTTGCAAGGTGAGGGACAGCATGCAGCTGAAACCTGGACACTGCTAGAAAAACACTCACTGCCCTCTCCAAAACAACTGCTGCACAACCAGGCCATAGGAAATTCATCCTCAGGGATTTCTTGCCTTCTCCTTGCCTGTGTCAAACACCTACAATCATTTTTTGCCCCTATCCCTACCCCATATGGATGCCCCCCCCTCTGCAACCCCATCCCTCCCTAACTCCTGCACAGTGCCCTGGGCAGTCCTCAGCACCCACCCTCCATCCTCAGATGCTGCCTGCCTGCTCCTTGCCTCTTTTCTCTGCCCTGGAGACTGCTTTGAGCCTCCGGTTACTTGTCAGGCCTCCCTGGAGCAAAGATGACCCTCTACCAATCTGGGATCCTTCAAGGTGCAAGGCACCAAGCTTGGGTACAGTGGTTAAAAATTGGTGACCCTTACTCCAGGCTCCCACGCTGGAGCCTGCAAGAGCTAGAGCAGGAGGTGATTTTAAGGGGAAAGGGAAGGAAAGCTCCACGGATGGGATTTCCCAGTCGCTGCCTGCCATCTAGTGCCTAGCACTGAGCTGTTTCACGGGCAGCAAGTGACATCCACCTTCACCCTCAGGGGAATTTAGCTCTTAAATTAGAGCCAGCAACATTTGTGCATCAGGTTCCCAGCGCTGGGGAGATCCCCACCGTGCTCCTTGCTCTGGACCAGGGCAGGGAGAAGGTTTTAGAGTCAAATAGCCCAAATCCTGGTGGGAACTGTCAGGGAAGACAGCCTGGGAGTGAGGGGAGGTGATGTTGTGTGCCTGCCTGGGTTACAAATGCAATGCTCAGCTACAGCAAGCTAACTAAACACAACACCTCTTGCTTTGCTGCACGCTGCTACCTTCAAGGTCGTGTCGTCATCATCGGCAGCTCTGATCAAAGCGGTGCACACAGGCATCACGTGAAGAATGCTACAGATGGGCTAAAAATAGGGAGACAAATGGAAGTGTGAGGGAAAAAGGCTTGTCATCTGTGCAGGAGACTGAAAATGTACAGAAAATCAGGAAACAAACAAAAATAATCAAGAAACACTGACTTTGTGACTCGGGTATCCTGGCACTTAGAGACACTACTGGAGTTTCCCACCCAGTTCCATCCATGGGCAGCCACTGCAGCAGGAACATGGTCCCTACAAGCCATTCATAGCCTTTGGGTTAGCACCAACAGCAGGTGATTTGGAGTGTTTTAAGGGCCTTCAGGCAATCTGGGAGGCTGATGTTCTCCATCCCTTCAGTAGGGGTATACCTGTGCTCACTTAGGGGCTGGTCATCTGGCAGCTTCTTGTCCCTCTGAAAAGGCTCTGATACCTTCCTGCCCACAAAGGCAGGACATAGCAGGCAGGACAGCTACAGGTCACCACAGTCCTGTTGCCAGGCAGAGAAAATTAAGGGATATGAAATCCAGAGGGGTCTGGGATAGACAACGTCCATCCTGCTCACTGCCTTCAGTCCCTGCTAGATCAGGAGCCTCTAGCACGCTGCTGGTAGGGCACCTTCTGCTGTGCCACATGCCCTACTTCTGCACAGGGGACAAGACTGGATGCTGAGCTGTGAGCGCAGGTGGAGCAGGAGTGGAAAAGTGGGTCCCCATGGGTGCCACCTCCAGCAGTCACTCATCCTACACCCTGAAACAGGGAACTACCTGCCCCTCCACACAGGGCACTGGTGGAATCAGACACCCTGAATGCCCACCCTCCCTCCTCACCAAGCCCCTTATCACTTGGCTGTCTGCTCCACATCACACCCCACTGCTTTCCTCAAGCTCATCCGACATTTGTAGCCTGTGCCATTTGCTAGTACCATGGCTCAGGAAACAATTTCTATTTTGCAGAGGGGCACGTTGGGTCTGACACAAATGGGCTGTGCTGGTCATCTGGAAAAGGCAGGCAGGGCAGGGCAGCAGCTTACAAACACGCAGAAACAGATTTACTGATTAGCACATGGCTCTGATTTCCTCCAATGCTTCCAGAAAAGCAATAGGCGACATTAACAAAAGGATTACTCAGAATTCAAAAGCAAATGGGATTTGTGACCCATTATATTAACTGGGGACTGGGGAAAGCTCCACAGAGAGAGAACACTGCCGGCAGGTCACCAAACCAATTATTAAGAGCTCACAGATCATGAAGCTAGATATATACACACATCAAGATAAATTTCTATTTGCCGGCAGAAGCAGGACGCTGGCTGAGCCACCCTCCCAACCCAGTGTGCTTTTTCTATGTGCCCATTAAACCTGGATTATATCTAGTTACTTTCCCCAATAATTCACTTCCCCCATGGGTTTAATGCTGTGGAATAACATTTGGGAGGGTAAAACCTGAAAGGAGAAATGTAATGGGCATAATTACTTTGATAGATGAGAGCAAGCAGAAAGCAGGCAGGCAGCACGTGGTGGGAGCAGGCCAGCAGCACACACACTCACCCCTGACATTGCTCACCATCCTCCCAGCAGCAGCACTGGCCTGTGCCTCATGTCCTGATATCCCCAGCTTCCCTCTGCCCAGATACTTGAGAGGGAGAGCAACCCTTAGACACAAGGTAATCTACCTCTGACATCAGCTCTCACCTTAATCTCCAGCAGAGATCATCTTAAACTGCAATTGTTAGCTGTAACATCTTTTCCTAAACTTTTGCCTTGGTTAATTACGAGATTGGATGCTCACGGTAGCCAGGTAAAGGGCCAGCTCCTGCCAGCACACTGTCTTGCTTCTGGAATAGGCTGTGATGGTGAGCCCTAAAGCCTTGTATACGCAGCATAAAGGCTTTATTGCCTTGCCTAGGTTTTGAAGAAGCTTCATTTTAATGTTGCTGAATAACCCTTCATAATTGAATTGAGAAATGCCCCTGGGTCTCCAAGCGTTGCCTATGAAGTCCTGCCAAAGGATTTTATACCCCCCCCAAGATCTGTTAGGGAAAAGTAGCCTTGACAGCAAAGCTGTAGCTAGAACTACCTGAAGGGGCTTCCTGCTGTCAGGATTTTGTACTCGCCTCACAAATTCCTGGCTTTGGTTTCTGAAGGGTTGGTGTTAAGGACTGGGTATTATCAGCAAAGCTTCTGGAGCAATTTTACCCCGAGTCCCAAGTTTCCCAGTAGCCCCCGTTCTTTTATATCCATTCTTACCTTTGCAGAGATTCACTCAAGCGTTGCCTCTGTCTGCCTCATTCTGTGTCCTTCCAACGCACTGGTTATGCCAAAACACGGGGGTGATTTCACAAGAAAAGGGAGGAAAAAGGTGTCCTCAAAACAAAAGGATGAGACCTAATCCACTTATATCACTAGTGACCTCAACCAGATTTTCCACACCATTTTCTGCTGGGTCTCTAGGCTGCTGTGAGCAGACCACTCCACACTGCATCCCCTGCAGACAGCTGAGCACAGCAGGAATGGGCAGCACTTGCAGAAACCCCAGGCGCTACCAGAAAAACTCCCTCCAAAGAGGCGGATCCCTTCCAACACAAGCATGAAGCTTGAACAGAAGAAAAGCAAAGTGACTGGTGCTGCTAGAGATGTCTTATCTTCCAGGAACAGGGAGTGAGCCCACTGGCTGCCCCAGCTGGGATACCCTAACTCCTACCCTCCCTGAGCCAGCCCACCCCTTGCCCGTGCATGGAGGGACGCAGTAGGGTGCTCCCTGCACCCGAGCAGCTCTCCCTGCTCTGACAAGCTCACGGCTGTATTTGGGAGCAATAGCATCTCTCCTCCTACAGGTTTTCAGAGAGTAGGAACCGGTATAGCCTGTGGCTCCAATGGCATCTCCCGGCTCTGCATGTATTTATCTTGCAAACATTGAAGCCTTTGGTTGCTTGGAGCCAGCCAGGAGGAACAACAAACAGCAGCTTCCTATTATGTGAGAAAGTGTGCAGTTCTGAACAGTTCACAGTGTATCACAAAACATGTAAGCAGGGCTCTGCTTAGAGCACCAATCCCCAGAACTCCTGCAGACAGGGAGTGGTATCAGCTAGGCAAGATTATTTTGTAGGGGCAGTAAAGGAAACCTGTATCTGTGAAGCTGAAAAGTGGTTTTATTAGGACTTGTTATCTCTCCTTTGCTGGAGGGGAGTCCTAGCATCAATTTGTCACAAAGAAAACCTTCATCTCTCTCTTCTAACGTGGTGGCTTAAGCAATGGCTTAAATGCCAGTGTTTTAGACTGCAACTGATCCTTCCATTTGTTTCTGCTCCTGGAGGCTTTTAACAACAGCTGCTGGACTGCATCACACCAGAGAAAGGTCATCTTGATGTCTCCTTCCCCCTTGGGGGGGGGGGGGATCTGGCTTTTGTGTATCACCCTCATGAATGGAAGCATCGTGTGCTGAAAATGGCTTTGAGGAGCAGAAAGTCTCTGCAGTCTAACTGCTCTCCAGCTTCTTCCCTGATGCACACAGTTGGGGAAGATAATGCTCAGACGCTGGCCCCAGCAGTCACAGCACTGATCTTACACTGGACTTCTTAGATGAGCCCCACATTGCTGCTCTCAAAGCACAGAGTCACAGGTCCTTTCCAAAACACCTCTCTGGTGCACACTTCACAGGAAAGCTCTTCAATTGATCTGACTGTGACTTGCACTAAAGAGCCACAGCAAAATCAGTGCCTTCCCAGGGACTTGCTGCAGCTTCAGGTTCTGATAGAGAAATCTCATGTGAGGAGGCCTTTGCCAAGGTGAGAAAAACCCTCCAGGCTTTGGGTGCAAACAAGCTCCAGACTCCCTCAGCACCCAAGCAAACACACATGCGGTTCTCCATCACGTTTGCAAAGGAAGTTTTGTGCTTCATGCTCAACACAAGTGAAACGCTCCCCCTGCTCTTTGTGCTGGACCACAGGTGGCACACTGCGGCTGTGCCAACTCTCTCCCAGCCACAACTCGACAGGTTTCTTCTGTTCCAGGAGAGAGAAAAGCACTGTCACAAAGGGTTTTAAGGCTTTGTGCTATCCTTTCAGTAGTTACCAGCAAAATATACCCCACCAGCCTGCCTGATCAGACTTCTGCAACTCTGCAAGGAGTATAGGTATAAGTTTGCACTGCGTGGAAAGACAGCCTGCATCCACTGAGTTCTCAAAGGAAAATAACAGCTTCAGTGATCTACCACAGGACCTCTGGGAGTAGAGGAAATAAGATACAAACCATCCTTTCTGCTAGGAAACCTGCATGATATCCTTCTGCCTTCCCTCTCACCAAGGCCGGAGTGGGGAGGAACAGGCTACACAGAAGAACTGAGCAAAAGCACTCATGTTGCAGGATCTGGGATTGTTTGCAGCAACTGGCTGAGGGCTTTTCAATAAAATCAACTGCGGGGTGGGGGGGGGGCGCTGTTCCTGTGCAGGCTGCAAGCAGGAATTTGCATTTTAGGTGATGAGAAAGCAATGATTTCAGCTTCCAGAAAAGACCAAGCTTCTCACACACCTGCTACCTCTAAGAACAAAGGCCTGAGCCCAAGGAAAAAAAAAAAAAAAAAAAAAAAAAAAAAAAAAAAAAAAAAAGGAGGCAGCTGTTGATTCCAACCTTTACAGTGCTGGAGGGAGCTACACCTCCCTCAGCACAGACAATGCCCAAAGACTTGTAGCTTGAGTAAGCCAGAGAATAAGAACTGCCTGGGTTTGAAGATCAGCAAGCTTTTAGTACAGCCTTTTCTCTCTTTTGTGCTCTTGGTTTTGAGAACAAATAAGCATTGATTAAACAGCATTTTACATGCTTTGAAAGTTTTGTTACAGCAACACACAGCCTGCCTTTGGCATGGGAAATGGGGCAGAGGCCTTGGCAAAGGGCATGCCCTAAGCCTGTGCCCACAAAGCTCTGCTCAGGGGCTGGGTGCTGTGGAGCCAGCAACAGCCTGAAATGGAGTGGCAGAGAAAAGCCTAATCCTGAGCTGACTGCACCCATGGGCCCCCAGGCTGGTGGAGTACAGCCTGAGGGGAAGGACTCACCTCTCCTCTCTGCAGGAGCTTTCAGTCCTGGAGAAGGCAATAGTCTCCCCTTCAGCAACATTGACCCCAGACAGCAGCTAAAAAATCTGCAGTTTTTCAGGCACATATTCTGCTCCGCATTTACTTCCTCTTGGCAAGTGCTCTCTCTGTTGCAGACACAGCCTCCTCACCAGGCCAGGCCTGCTTCAAGAAACCAAGTTTTGTTTTGTTGGTAATTTATGGCAAGCCTGCAGCTCCCAAACTGCCCAGTGTTCAAAAATAGAAGGCTGCTGTGCTACCCCCCCACCCCAATGGCTTGTGGAGTGATTAAGGATAGCTTTAATTTGAGGCCTGCAGCTCAACAGCTCCCAAAGGATTGATAAAATACATATAGCAATCTCCAGTTCCACCTCTGGAGGCTGAACTCTCTCCTGATGATTAAGGACAGCTATTTCCTCCCTCTCTCCCTGCCGCTGAAGAAGGCCGATTCTCTGCAAGGTCCAGCCAGCACTGGGCCCACACTGTGACTACCAAACAGCAACATTTACAACCAGAAAAAAACCTCCAAGAAACAGAACTGGCGCCAGAGAGGTGAGACAGCACCATATAAACCCAGGATACAGCTAAAAAATTGGAGTAACAGGGTCAGGCTACCTGAGGCAGACACAGCTAGGCTGGCTTAGCAGTGCTGGCCTAATGCACAGGGAATGGGAGCTGAGAACTCCCCAGAGCCACCTTTGAGGCTGCTCTCAGGAGGCAGCAACGCTAGAGCAGCCTTCCCGCCTCAGGAAAAATTAGCCTTGCTGCCCAGACAGA